AAAAATATAATATAAATGATGAAATAGGGCGTGGGATGTTAAAGTTATATCATCTGTTAAAACCGACAATATATATGTCAAATAAAAATAACTAGTCGCAATATTACACTTTATCTTAAACATACATTATGCAAGAGCTAAATCTGCCAACTGCAGGTCTTTCTTTAGGCCTGAAATGTTATCTAAATTTTTAATAAGACATTTTAATGTCTAATGTCTACTAAAGTTAAAATTAACTTATCCAGACCATAACCAATTCTCAATAGCCTCTCTATCGGGCGATATTTACTGGATTATGATCCCATTTGCTGCTCGACTTCTATTCATAACTTAATCATGAAATGAAGGATCGAGACTATGTTCTTTATCGCACAGACTTTAGTAATGATGATCGAGGCTCGGCCGAAATTTCAATTGCTTAATTCTCGATTCATAGTGGATCAATATGACTGAAATTGTCAGCAAATTGCCTTTACATTATCTAGTTTTTAACTATTATAGTGAGAACTGCCAACTCTTTATCTTATCTCCCATAATGTATCTTTAATATATTAAATGACGAAATATAAAAATCCACAATTGGTAGAAAGTATTTATTTTAAATTTCTTTTTTTAGAAAAGAAGTAAGTCCACAAAGAGATTTAAGTAAACAACAGTAACAATCGTATTTCTTTCTCTTCAAGGATTAAAAGTTATATATAGATATATTTATAAAATACTTGTTAATATTATGCTTTTAATAATAGCTATACACTTCTAAATTTGTATTATGCATACAGTGAGAGCGATTGAGGTTTAGCATTCAGTGCTGGCTATGATGGCGTTAATTGTGTTAGTAACCCATTTAAAAATAATGAGATTGTACATCTGAAATGGGTTGTTTTAAATCTATTCCAAAGAGATGGCGCTTTTAAGAAGGTTCTTCACACTGATCAGAGAATTTAGTTAACAACATTTATATCTTGAGAGCAATTTATATCTTCTAACTGGTCTGAGTTAAATATTATCACTATTTTCCTCTCTCCAAGTTTTCTAGGTGTCATCTCAAACTTGGTAACAAACGTCTGCTTTGGTTTTACGGTCCTAGAATTTATTTAAAAAATATTTATTAATATTAGTGCAAAAGACAAAGATATTTGAAATATACCGTTGAGAACACCCACTCCAAAGCTAATACTAGTCCACTAGATCTCTATCACAAAGGATATCTTATTTATAGATTCTTGGGTCCTATAACTTAGTTGCTTAAATTATGACCATTGGTCTATAGTTTGAAAGGACGCCCCACCACATATCCTAGGGCAAAGATAATACCCCAGCACTAGCATATAAGACAATCATTGATGTAGATCATGCACGGTTCCATTCGCCCAGAGCCAACATCAACCTACCCGGGTTATTTGAGGCTAAAGCTTGGAGCCCAAAAGGCCAAATGCACTACCATGAAGACCAAACAAGCAAACAGGCTATATGGTGGCATTAGCAACAGCAGAAATGCGCCAAAGAAAAAAAAATCCTTATAATCGCGTTGACCACATGCCACATGTCAGTATCATCAAATCGAAAGATTTACATGCCAGGTTTATATTTTGCAATTCTAAGACTACATTAGAAAGTCAAAGTAAGTAATCCAATATATCCCAAAGACCATCATTTCGACAACTTTCGCCGATCATATGAACAAAGTCCTGTATACACCAGTCTAAAATCTGATTATCCTGGCGCAATTTTCAATGCTCAACTAGAGTATAACTAATATCCGAAATGATTATCACATCAGTATTTTGACTAATTGAGTTTGTGACTGAAAGTGACGAAAGTACAATCGTTACTCCTCGGTCAGAAAACCTACCTTTGTGGATGCTGTTGTCTCCTCTGTAGGCCCGGTCCTTCAACCTCCAAATAACAATTAGTTAAACTTTCACCCAGAGGATTAGTAAACGATACTTCTACGTCAAATGGTCTCCCCTTCTTGATCTCGGTGGGAATCTGGAAAACATATAAAATGTAAAATAGAAATAGGAAAAGTTTATTTGCAACGAATCCATCAGAAGTTATGGATACAATTATATCTTAGGGAGTTGCTAAATGAGACACGTGTCCAAAATTCATATTTCTACTGTACGATGGATACAGAAAAGCCCATGAAACACCTACGGATCCATGGTATAAACATACCTTTAATGTTAAATCTGGTTTGCGCAATCTGAACCCTTCGAGGGTTGTAAATACTTGTTCTGTGTCTTGTACTTTAGCCATTGCCGTCAATTTTAACATACACATATCTTTTAACTTGGACGCATAATCCTTGTAATTAACTCTCATCTTTTGTTCCGTTGCTGAAATAACAAACAATGTTCACAGTTTCAGTTCATCGAAGTGTCACCCCTGTCAAAACAACACACCAAAGTTGCAATGCATAGGAACAGAGGCAGTTTCTCGTCATTCGCTGCATGGTAACCAGGCATATAAGACTCACAGACGAAATCAGTTGACATAGAAGTACTAGGCCATGAGGTTTTAAACTTGGGATTAACAATATGTATTCTTTTGATACAGACACAAGACATAGTCATACATATATTTTTACCTGCTTCAGTCCTATACTGTAATGCAGCAAACCGTTTAATGATCCCTTATAACACAATGCATGTCTCTATACAGATCGTAGCGAAATGATGAAAATCATTTGAGCAGAATTAAAAATAAAACATGAAATAACCATAATAAAGATCTTTCAAGATATAGATTTGATGTATGGATCATACAGGATATACATGTGATGTATCTCTGAACAAACAGTTAATACGTTCGTAAAAAAAACAAAACACAACACAATTTATGGTCATATGAGTAGAAACTATGGACCAAACGCTATATTACTCATGGCAATACGATGATGTAAGTTAATTTTTAAAAATTGCAATTATAAGTTAATTCTGATAAACAAATTGTGGTGTGTGTGCATTAATGTATGTAACATATTAATGTTTTAAGTATTCAGTGCATCTGATTTTCTATTAACTTTAAAGGAACACTTTTTGGATAGTCATCAAGTCGAATTTATCCATCATAATGCTTCATTATGTACCATACATTGTAGCAGGCCAATGGATTCCAGAGGGTTTCTTTGTGATGAAGGACAGTTGGAATTAGAAAAAAAGAGTAGGTAATCCCACATTGTCCCGGTTGGTGCTAAAAGTAGAACTTTAAACTCAATTTCATTTCACCTTGGTTTCAGTTAACGTTAAGGGAAAACGAGGCTCAATGTACCTTAAATAGACGCCTGACCAACAAGTTTATAAAATAAAAAATCTTCATTATTATAACCTATTGTAATTCATCCATGGTGTACTTACCTCGACCTGCTTGTACACGTATTTCAAATGTATCTGTTTGAACTCTGTCAGCAGCTACCCCAGTATAATACATGGTTCTAACTGCGAGTCGTCCATGTATATCACGATCTTTTTTACTCTTATTGGTGATCTTCAGTATAACATCAAAATCTTCACCAACAAATACATCATCTTGTTGTACTAGGTTAAACTCTACATCCTGTAAAAATACAAGGGACTAGTTTAGTATTTAATATATTGCCTCCATGCTTTTATCTTTACATTTAGCAGTTCTATCAAATGAATGCGAGTCAACAACATGTAGTTTAATATTAATGTCGACTTCTTCTCGGTCATGAAATAAGTACAATCTTCAATCAACACAATCTCAATCATAGCATTATAATTTCATGTTTTACAGTCTCTTTCTTGTCAGCCATTTAATATGTTTCGTTGTAATTTTCATGTGATTATTTTCTGTTAATTAACATTCTAATTTGATAATATAAAAACCGCACATCATTTTTTCTACTTAATTTGTTAAATAGACAATAACTATTTACCGAATCGCCAGTTTTATAAATATCGTGCCTACTGGAACCGGTTTGGTTAGCTCTCAATACGGCTGTTCTTTCTTCTTCCGTTCCTGAAAAAGGCAAGCCGAGTAATATTTCAACGGCTATAATAAAATGCCTTTGCATTATACCCATAAATCATTTTTACACTTTCTGTATTTTCTCACAATGAGTAACAATTTGTTAGTATTCCCCAATAACACCTCCGCTTTGAGACCAGTGAAAGATCTGTTAGACGCGGTCTCAGTACGACACTCTTAAAATATGATCGATAACTAAAAGTAGTTCGGAAGTTGTGTACTACAGGGGATTAATCCGCTTCTTCAGAACGACACTCTAGAAGAATGATCGATAACTAAATGTAGTTCTGTACTACAGTGGTTTAATCTGCTTCTTCAGTACGACGCTCTAAAGAATGATCGATAACTAAATGTAGTTCTGTAGTTCTGTACTACTGGGGGTTTAATCCTCTTCCACGATACTGCTGGGGTTTTAATACGCTTCCAGATATGCTGATATCGCACAAAGCTCATCTAAAAACGATTATTATAAATGTGTACAAGTTTACCTTCAGGATATTTATATTCTGTTGTAATATCTTCTCTCTCATCACGTAATGGTAGTTTGGTACTGATATTTCTACCAACACTGAATAAATAATAACAATATTTAGACATTTGGTACTATGAATAAATAAAAATAATATTTAGATATTTAGTTATTGGTCCTATATTCCTATATTTCTACCAACACTGAGAGAGATAGAGAGAGAGAGAGAGAGAGCGAGAGAGAGAGAGAGTAACACATGGTTCAATTTTATTTCAATAATTCGCTTGCGAGCAGGGGTCTTTAGCAGTGGGAGGAATGGGAGAAAACCCACGAGCTTGGACAGGCGACCTTACTCCTTGTCGCGTACAACCGGGGAATCGAAACCACGCCAGTTGACTCAATGACAGGCCTTATGATACAGCGCACACGTGCTAACCATTCTGCCCCCCCCCCCCTGAATAAATAATAATAATATTTTGACACTTGGAAAAAATAATGATAATAATATTTAGACATTTGATATAAATAATAATAATACCTAGACATTTGATACTATATTTCTACCAACACTGAATTAATAATAACAATATTTAGACATTTGGTACTGATATCAACACTACATAAATATATAGAATCATACACATTGAAGTAGACATAGGTCTTTCCACGGGTACTGATACGGCAGCTTTTGTGACGAAATGTTTCATGTCTAAAACCGACTATTTTAGCAAGCAGCCATCTTGCACGGTTTCTTATGATTACTAGAACATTTTGAAATGAAATGGAGTTTAACGGCCTACTATTGTGCTCCGATCAGGCTAATGAAGACGGAGAACATCAGGGAGGATCGGGGGGGGGGGGGGAGATAAATCAACACTTTTTATGATAAACGTTTCTCGGCCGTGTGCTTTATCCTTTATCGTCAGATGTGGGACAGGATGGGCATTCAAAGCACGAGATAATGATATAGACATTATGTGATATCACAATTAATGCTTTGCATACATGAAATTGAATCCCAATGTCATTCATTGTATTAATTCATAATAAAAATTGACGTCAAACGAGGTGTTGAATTTCTCTGTTTAAAAAGCTCAATGTGTATGTATATACGCCAAAATGATGATAGAGACCATGCGGGGGGGGGGGGAATACATTGTCTCAGGAACCTCGCAAACCCCTTCCTGCAAAAATTCCTGGATCCGCCCCTGAACATTTTGAACCAATTGAATCACCGCCACATGTTTGCTGCCTGATCCCCGTTAAGTTTAATCCATTCGGAGCTTAAAACTTACCATTTCTTTTCTACGTTATTGTTTACCATAGAACCATCAAACTGAGTTACCCAATAGATCTTGTCAGCATTTACCTCGGCAAATATAAATGGTCCATCGTATGGAAGACTCAATTCGCCATTTTTGATGGCAGTCATGGAAGCAGGACCGCAACAACAAACACCTGAAATGGATAAATAATATTCGAACTATGGTGAAACTCAACCATGTTTTCCAATGGTTGCGCAGCAAGTAGAACCTCAAACTTACTCGTTAAAACGAGTGAATTATAACCGTAATCTGGATTAAAGATAACACTAAACCCATTCGAAAATCGACAATTATGATTTTTGAAATCTAAAAGTTTCGGTTTAGGAGCAATATATTTTCTTTTACCTACCATCACTTGTTTCTTGTGGCGTGGCATCTGCAGCTTGCCATCCTCCATAACCTTGTGGCAAATCAGGTCTGGACATCCATACGTCATTCCACACGTGGAAATTCCTAAAATAATTGTAACAAATATCAAAATCATTCTGATTCAGATTCACGTATCGTAATTAAAACTACATTTTGTTTTCGTTCCATTTGTACACCCTATAAACATTTAAAGATATCAATGACAAACGCCTTCTGGACCTTGGCGATCATGATCAGACAGTCAGGTCTAAAGCTATTCCATTTTTCGTTATTCACATCCAACCGGTTTTCTCTGATGGTGATCGGGTAGCCTCGGTTACCACGACGCCATCGCAGACTAATATAGTTCGGATTACTCCCACTGCCTCCATATTTACAGTAAGCTCCAGACCATTCGTCAGACTCTGGAATTCATGCAGTCAACATCACAGTCAACGGACAAGGTGAAGGCATAATACGTTCATACTGAAATTTTGGGGTATAAACATGACCTTAATGGCTTTGGTTCCAGACTGCTAGGGACAATGGCATTTACAAAGCCCGACGCTCCTTAAAAAAAATAGTTACCAAAAAGAATCGGCGTTTCGTCTTTCGTCAGTTTCACCATTCGGGTAAAAATGGATATCAAAAGAAACACTGCCATCTGTGTCGTGAGCAGAATCAAAGTTGGTGACACTTCTGGCGGGAATACCCAGAGCGCGACATACTGTAACGGAAATAAAGATGGACATTTTAAAATCAATTGTAGGACATTTGACAGGAAAACACTTTATAATCTTTTAGGGGCATTTATTAACTGAACTGACTATATTAAGCTCAAAAACAGAGATATATGGTCAAAACCTGTACACTTTTGTAGGCAAAGCAGACTAGCAAATGTCCAAAAACATTACATGTATAGCTATAATCCATCGTGAACATGATGCTCATGTCCGACGCAACATCATTTTAAAAAAAAAACATCTATTCTGTCTAAACGGCGAACAGGTAATTCGTCAGAGGAATATATTACATATGCCAGCTAGTTACCACATGCCAAATATATTTTAAAATACCAGACGTAACTAAAAACACTAAATTTAATTTAAAATAAACATGTTACGGTGGGATATAAATAGTTTTCTGTTTATTAAAATAGATTTATATATACCATATCATGATGTTAAGTTTAATTGTATATATGCTGAGTCTTGCAACTTCTTTTTTTAAGATCCTATTTACAAATTACTTACTTGTTGTTAAGACACCAGAAAAGACCCAACATTGTCCGAATTTAACTGGCATCTTGGTTCTGTAAAATTCTTCCAAAATAGCTGCACTGCCAGACCAGGTTAAAGGTGATTTGCCCCCTTTATAATTCCCAGACCAATTACCAACCAATACACCTCCATCATCAGGAGCATTTACCTGTAGTTAGTAATAATTATTCAGACAAAAATGCGGTAAAGTCAACTTTTATGGACAATCAGATATTGCATGTGTGGAATATCAGGGCATAATATAATGATCCCCACTTCACGAACAATCCTAAAGTATTTATTTATGGGATACTATCCTTTAACATTGGGATAATATGTTGTTTTAGCAGAATACCTGTCCCTTTTCCAGACCAACAACCTCTAAAAATACTCTGAATTATGCACAAATTAAAGATTCATAATCTGTTTAGTTAATTACATTCTATGCATACAGACCATGACCGTCCACGAAATCAGTCTCATTCGGCAAGCCAACGTACAATTTGTAATGTTTTACAGACTCTTCTCATCCCAAATTAATAAAAAAGAAACATGTATTTTTTAAAATCGCGATTACTAACCAAAGCTGTTAATTTTCTAACAACGTTAACTGCATTGCCTCGAACATTCCAGTTTAATTCAGATATTTCCAACAAAAACATACAACAGTCCAAAACATTATCTTGAAACTGAAATATAACAAAACAATTGATTTAGATTCTGAATCTCAATGTTCAAAAATTAGCTGATACTAGCTAATTAATAGAAATATGTAAATTCTATGACTCAAAACTAGTTTATTAATTTGTATACCTGTCCAAAGTTCCATGGCTTCGAGTTAATGTTTTTATAGGTACCAGCGTAGATTCTTCCAGATTCATTTAACACATACTCTCTTAGAGCTCTATTATCGTCATTATAAACCTGGTCATCTGTAAAACAATACGTACGTTCAATTTAGTGCAATTGAAATGTTGTCCTAGAAAGTAATCTGTGAAAGAACAATTCAGCTGGTTCTTTTGGATCAGTTTCAATAGAAGGTTGGGTAATTACGAAGTTCATTCACGATATCATAAAAATATCATGACTTTAACAATAAAACATCATAATATTTCAGTTCGAGACTCGTGTCCAAAGTCACCAGGATGTTATAGCATGACAGCGTATAGAAATTAAACGACTTCAGCTGAATGAAGGACACCACAGTATAATATCAGCATATTAAAATGGATTTAGTTCAGCAACCGAATGTGGTACCGGTAAATGAAGCAAACTAAAGATCAAGGAACAGAGAGTCTTGCGATTGATATATTCTTAGTAATATTAGAGTCACGAAAAAAGAAGATCACGGTTTCGTATTCAAAACCGCAAGACTTAGTTTATGGCCATAAACTGACGATGGGCTAGGAGATTAATCCACGGCTTACCTTTACACCAAGGTTCTCTATATGCCCCTTTACACCAAGGTTCTCTATACGCCCCTTTACACCAAGGATTAATGGGATTGTTGTCTATACGTACCTTTACAGATAGGGTTAAAGCGAATAGAAATAAGTTGTTTATACGTACCTTTACACCAAGGGTTAAACAGAATATAAATAGGGTCTCTATGGTTATATCGATAAATTGCGGTCTTTTGGTCAGCTTTCTTTACGACATCTATCTTAAACTTCCATTTAGCTACGTAACAATTTGGTGGAGTGAAAATGGAGACACGAAGGGTACTCCTATCTTGACGAACTACTTTAGCGCCCCATTGTTTAGGTAAATCAACATCAGATAGAACAAATTCAACATGTGTCTGTTTACTTGGCAACGGTTCCTGTCCTGTAAAACATAAAAATAAACACATTTAATGAATAAGTACTATGTTGCTTCTGTTGAATAATTATTTAAGCTATTGCAAATTGTTAAGCTATTCTATAACAAAGAAAAGAAAGTTTAGAACACATATAGTTGCTAAAGTAACAATGATTGTGCTTAGCAGGAGGGCTTAAAAGCAAATTTAACATTTTTGAGACATGGGGCTAGATCAGGGCCGACATGAAAGCGTTCCGTTTCTGGTTACTATGCGACTCTTGGAATAATGAATAAAAATCACCATCTTCCACAAATTATGCACAATTTGCTGACATATATAAATATGCCCAATCAACTAACCTGCTTGAAAGACAAGCCGAAGATCATCTTTGCTTTTATCATAAGGTCTGTTAAATGTTACGGTGATATCAAACGACTGTCCACGTCTTACAACCAGCTGGGGGTTAGGTGTTTCATATGCCTCAGTTATATCAAACTCATTGGTATGGTGAGCTCGTGTGTTTTCTTCTATGTTAAAATTAACACTTTCTACTTTCAAAACTTCATTGCTTGCCTTGTTAGGATCTGAAAATAGAACAGACGATATATAAGCATACACAAAGGGCCATGCCACTATGGTGTCTCGGTTCTTGGTCCTGTTTAGTTTGTAAATTTAATAAAAGAAATAGTTTTACAAATTATTTTATTTGCGATATTACTGAATATTTCGACCCGGATAATAAATACGCCTTTTTTATCACACAAGCATATACGTAAATATATGCACAAAAGCCTAGCGTTTCTCAAGGCCGCATTAGGGTCGTGTTATATTTGAGATTTATGCGTTGTGTTGCAATATAGGTAATTGTTGAAGTGAGCGTGAAATAAATCTATATAAAATCAATACTCACAGAACTCGTTGATTGGCCTTCCTTTTGTTTATGTATATGTTTTGTTTTTTTGTAATTAGATCTGGGAGGGGCGTGGAAGAGTATATAATCTAAAGGGTACCCAAAGACACTACCCGGGCAGTGGCACTACGGCTATTGTATATCGAATTCCAATTGTCAAATGTTCTCTTACGAGCACACCAATGTGCACACGGAACCTCGGTTGTTCGTCCCATCCGAACGACTATATCTCGTTCCTTGCCAGTTACGAACCCCGTCCTACACCACTGACAAAGGAGAACCACACCGGGGTTTAACGTCCACTCGACACAAACTAGGTCATTTCGGGACTAATACATGGTTCAATTTTATTTTAATAATTCGCTTGCGCGTAGGGGTCTTTAGCAGTGGGAGGAAACCGGAGGACCCGGAGAAAAACCACGAGGTTAGACAGGCGACCCTACTCCTTGTCACGTACAACCGGGGAATCGTAACCCCGCCAGTTGACTCAATGACAGACCGTATGATACAGCGCAGCGCGCACGTGCTAACCATTCGGTCATTCACCTCGCCCCTCCACCCCCAAGATGAGAAGCTAATAAAACAAATGGGCATATTCACGAAGGTGTCTGGGTTTTTGACTGATCTTCAATTTTGGCACACTATATAATTGATATAAGTTGATAGTCAAATCTATGTATTCTTTGTAGATATGAAGTGAATTGCATATTGAGTTAAAGCATACCTGTATTTTAATAAGAAATGGGTGGGAACATATTTACATAGCATAGTTTAATAGCTGAAAGGGCACAGTACTTGACGGTAATATGCACCATATCAACTTGCAAAAATCTATGCAAAAGTGTACAGTATCATACCATCAAAGCGTTTTTGCAATCTTATGCTAATTCCATTACAATTGTAATTTCAGAAGACCACACAGAGTTTATTTCTATTATTATATGGTGACTATTTAAGCCACCACTCATCAGCGCTGGCACGAACAATTTACAGTCTAATACATAACTAACTTGAGAATAACCACGTTTTACAACAGTCAGGGCTGCTAAAGTTTCTGCATGTAAGAAATATCTTAAATAACTTGCTTCTAGATAAATTGAGTTGCACAAAACAATTTATTCATCTCTAAAAAACTCACGACAGGATCGTATTTTATGTCTATTCTTTTGATATTCAACAATTGGTGCAATATACAACCGTGCAACAACAAAAAGAACCAGATTTTGTTTGAAACAGACTTGAATTATTATCACGTCAGCTTAACACATGATCGAGGGAATACAAATGCTGCTATAAACCCAGCATAGAAAAAATTTAAGCGACATCCGTTGGTTGTTTTTACTTATCAATATTTATGACTTCGGAATTACAAAGAGAATCTGGAGACAAATGACGTGATATTGGTGTACCATAAGGGCCTGTATTGGACTCTGTGTTTCTACTGTATGTCCACTCCTCCCCTCTTGGACAAGCTGTAACAAGAAGCCATAGAGTCGCTAATGATTCACGGGCGTATACAGCGGAACCATGTCCCTGTGTTACTCTGAAATTCAACCCTTTAAAGACTAATGTTTAAGCCAACTTAACCAAAGACTAATATATGAAACTCGCTAGTTACAAAGAACTTTTCAAATGGAATCTTCACAGCATCAAAATCTAAATGGATAGAAACACACATCCCAATTAAAGCCTACACAACGTGGTTTCAATATTTTCGTAAAGCAAACGACATATTATAAAGTCAAATTATCCCACTTCGAAGCTACCTGCCGTGTTAATAATGCCAGGAAGATCCAAATGTTATGAACTGCGTAAAATTGGTGTTAAATATTGAAACAATTTACTGCTGATTATTTCGAGTACTGCGAATGAGACTAATGTCATGATTTTCGGCACAGCCCATAATTCCTGGCTAGGTTCGTTGGATCAAGACTAACACATGGTTTAATTTTATTTCAATAATTTGCTTGCGCGTAGGGTTCTTTGGCTGTGGGAGGAAAGCGAACGACCCAGAAAAAGCCATGGGGTTGGACAGGCCACCCGACCCTACTCCTTGTCACGTCCAAGCGGGGAATCGAAACCACGCCACTTGACGTAATCACAGACCTATGATCCAACTCGCACGCGTTAAACCATTCACGTTAACGTAAATAACAGATGAATGTTAAAATATCGCGTTTTAATAATTTAATCATGGTTAAATGGGCAATAACTCCCTCTAAAATCGAAACAGAAAGTGTTTATCATCTCTCAATTAAATCACTCTGTGGTACCAATCGGCTTATAGTCTATCACACATCATGAAAGTCGAAGTAACCATTTTTTCACCTGTCTTTCACAGATAAAATTTACTCTGTCTTTCTCACATCTTAACAAATACTTGATTTAAATTTTAACAAGTTTAAATAAAGCCTACCTTTAACAAGTTTAAACATAGCCTACCTTTAACACATTTTGACAACGCGCAGCCCATAACAGATGTAAAATAATCTAGGCAGAAAGAATCCAATTAATTTTTTTTATTCCGGTTAATGGATATTTCACAGGTAAATTAACACAGTTGTAAAAGAAATACTTAGATGAGTTATTAACGTTCAGTAGTATACACTGTTTATAGCAACACACCAGTTTCACAATACTCAAAATATAACAAATGTACTATTCCGATGTTATATGGACAACACCATGTTCTCGCTTTGTTCAAATAAAGGATGGGTGTAAGTTTATTTATTTAAATTGCGTTGGAACAGAATATTTGAAAAATGTGGATATTTGAAGTTTTAAGTCAAAGTTGGATTCAATAGTCTAGCATCTTATATTATTACGTCATAAAGTGTATTGTTCCTTCTTCGTTTATTTTCTTCTCCCCACCGTCTTATATACAAACACGTAATTGTCTTTCATGGGTGGGAGGATGGGGGGGGGGGCTTTAAAGTCTTACTTATATGCACAAGACTTGCTAATAAAGACACGCATACGTTATGTAGTGTACCATGGCAGATATTTTGTCCTGAGAAACGCGTCACGACCTAGTATTGCTTCGATTGCCAATTGGCATTCAGTAGATCTTTCTTAGCCAACACCGGGGGCACACAAACACTTAATTTTTTATGGTAATTAACGATTTTGTAAGAAGTACATTAACTGTAATAGTGGACAATGTATAGATTGTAATTACATATAGGAGGGTGTACAGCAAGGTGAATTACTTAGTCCACTTGTATTCCAATTCATTATAGTTAAAAAGACGTTGGCCTACTAGACATGTTAGTCGTTCTGGGCCAATATTTACTTTTGTTTAGTAGTGGTTTGTGAAAAAACCCTTTTTATGCGACCACAATGTAAAAATTATAACATTAATTGACAATATAGGATCTGGTGTACACACTGATGCGGACGTAAAAGAACCACTGACAATTGGAATTCAAAACAAGTTTAGACAAATTCTTAAACTTTCAAGCAAATCAATAGATAAAACAATATCGCATAATAATATGCATTTTATTCCAAAGGTGGGGGGTGGTTGCTTTAGCACAAGACATGCCTCCAAATACATCTTGATAACATTCTATTAACACATACTAAACCCAATTTAATAGTTAATTACATTATAAAAGATCAAGGCTATCAGTTTCGTCATATTACTTATCACATAATCATCCAAACGAGTGTTGGTATTTTGGGTGTGATCGTACAAAATCTGATCCCTAACTAAAACACGATTTATCTATCGACTAGGAATATTCAATCTGTCTCATTATATAAGGATATTTTCCGCGTAATCTGGTGTAGAACTAATGCTTGAGTCGCAGCCCCTGTGGCTCATTAGTAAGACACTCAATCGTTAAATCGTTAATTAGCTGGTCCCAGGTTAAAACCCCGGTGTTTTCCGAAATTGTCCCTCGGGGATTATCCGTGGTGGTTCCTCTTGTCAGTAGTGTATGATGGAGTGTCTGACAAGGAACCGCATCTAGTCGTTCTGGTGGTACGAAAACGGAAGTCCCCTGTGAACATTGCGTACACGTAAAAGAACCCTTGATATGAATTCGAAATAAGAGTAGGCTGTAGAAGAGCTGTTCGGTCCTGTCCGGTCAAAATTGCCCTTATAGCTCACTGAGTGGCGTTTGTCTGCCCTCACTAGCCCTGTTGTCAAATAAAATAAGGGCGTTAAACTTCCATTTCTTGATCTTCTTTAATTGTCGAGTGGTAGTATATGACGTGTCTTCTTCAAGTAAGATTTATAGTTTAATATTTACCTATTTTATTACCCAATGGTCTAAAATAAACAAACCACGAGTACCACACAAAATATTGAATGGAAAGTATAAAGGACAATATAAAATTTGATAGCCAATTTTTGACTTGGTCATTCATAAAAGAAATAATTAAAATTTGTATTAAGTTACACCCAATAAAATTGAGTGCACGGGTTCTGATAATATACACAATTAATTCCCGTCATTTGTTTTGTTCAAAGTGATAAAGCTCTTTTCAGTAAAGGTGAGTATTTTGTTAAGTAGCTCGTTGTAGATTGGTTGCTTGTTAACAAAATGCATTACATCATTTTATCAACCCACAGGTAGTCAGTAAATACAATCGTTGGGATTTTTCAACTTTTTTTTCAGTAAATCAAAACCTTTTTTTCAGTAAATCAAAACCTTTTTTCTCTCAATA